TGGATCTCCTCAAAAAGTTCATGCGTTAGGGAAGGTAGCGATGCTCCGAGGTGGGAATATTGTATCGTGAGAGCGGAATCCTCACTGGGGGAGGAATCCACTGGATGGAATGGTAATTTGACTGGACTCTTGGGTGGTCATTGTAGGCAGGTGGGGTGTGGCTGGAGGAAGCAGTTACTGGTGGCGCCCTTGAGGTGACCTTGCTTCTCTCTCTCTCTCTCTTTCTCTCTCTCTCTCTGCTTTCTGGCTGACATGAGCTGAGCTGCTTCCCTCCACCATCCCCTTCTGCCCTGAGGTTCTGCCCCACCTCAGGCCCAGAGCAGGGAGTGGCTGATCCTGGACTGACACCTCTGAATCCCTGGGCCGATGAATCTCTCCCTTCTCTAAGTTGTTCTTTACAGCTGTTTTGCTCACGGTAAAGAAAAGCTGAAGGACACAGGTAGTTTCCACCGACGTCCGCCCTCTTGATCTTTCTTCATGACAGACCCAACCTTAACTTCAATGACACAATGCCCACCGGAAAGGGTATGTTTCCCAGCCTCCTGTTCAGCCGCGTCCAGGACTAAGTCCTCCCCAGTGAGACCTAAAGGGAAGAGTGTGTGAAGGCCCAGGAAGACTCCTCAAAGGGAGCTCGGCGTCCAGTGCAACCACCCTTCCTCCTCCCTGCTCCCTGGGCGTTCCGGCCAGAATTCAGCAGCCACCTGGACACTGAGGTGGGGTTTGCAAACAGAACGTGCATCAAGAACGAGGGAAAGCCACAGGATCAGCCTTCGTCCCTGATGCCTGAGAGAGGATCGAACAGGTCCTTCCTGTTGAAACGTTTGATATTCTTGGTTTGGGCCATAGGTCGTCAGCCTAAGTGTATTTGATGTATTTATTATGGGGAGAGGCAACAGGAACTCGCGGCAGGAGAAGAGCCGAGGGAAGTCAATGACCAGAGAAAGCAGCCGAGAGAGAGCCCCGAGCATCCAGGTGCGTGGACAGTGCTGAGGCTGCAGAGACCAGGTGGGAGCTCCCGAGATGATGAGCCAACACCTGGGTCTCTGTACAAGCAGGGGGCAGGGAGTCTTCAGGCAGGAGGAGTGGCAGGGTGCAGTGTGTGCACTAAAGTGGGGCAGACTTTAGTGCACCCATCCAGAGCTAAGGACGCAGGGTCCCCTTTTGAGCCAGTAACCTGGGTTTGAGTCCCACTTCCACTCATAGGCTGGGAAAGGTTCCAGAATGGGGAGTTGGTCTGTGTTTGTGAGCAAAGATGGGGCAGAAAGAGGCACTGGGGAGCTGGAGAGTGGCCCTCGTCACCTCTGAGCAGCAACACCCTGCTCCCGCTCAGCCCCACCCACAGGCTGGCACTGAGGCCCACTGGGCATCTCCCAACTCCAAATCCTGACCCCGAAGAAACACCTTATTTTGCTAGTGCTTCTTATAAACTCATCTTTTGCTATCCATCCTCCACAGATTTTTTGAAAAACACTCAAAAAAAGAAATTTTTTTTTTAACTGTGGTAGAGTGCCCAAAACGTAAAACTTGTCACCTTAGTCATTTTTAAATGTGCCAGTCGGTAGCATCCAGTACCTTCATATTATCCAGCATCACCACCGTCCACCCCCAGAATGCTTTCCATCTTCCCGCGTGGATGCTGTACCTATTCAACCATCCTCCCCGATTCCCCACCTGCCTGACCACCACGCTTTCTGTCTCTATGCACCTGTCTGTTCCGGGTGCCTCGTGTAAGTGCACCCATACATGTGGTCATTTTGTAACTGGCTTATCTCACTTAATGTAAGGTGAAGTTGGAACCCTCAGGTTTCCTCCATGTTGTGATATGTAGGAGAATCTCCTTCCTTTTTAAGGCTAAATAATATTTTGTTGTATGTAATACTGCATTTTTCTTATCCTCTGGTGGACACTTGGTGTGACGGTTTGGGTGTGGAATTTCCACCAAAGGCTCATGTGTTCAAGCTTGGTCCTCAGGGCAGCAGAGGTGGGGCCTTGGGAAGTGACTGGATCATAGAGCTCTGACCTGGCTGGTGGATTAACCTCACTGATGAATTTATAACCAAGTGGACTGTTGGGACATTGGGATGTGGTGGCAGCTGTGGGAGATGGGGCCTGGTTAGAGGAAGTGGGTCCTTGTTGGAGGTGGGGGGACTCTGGGGGATGATATCTTGTGCCTGACCCTTCCTTCCTCTCTCTCTGCTTCCTGGCTGCCATGAGGTGATCCACAGTTTCCCTCCACCTGCCCTTCCGCCATGATGTTCTGTCCTGCCCACAGGCCTCAAAGCAATGCGCTCAGCTGGCCATGGTGAGACCTGTGCAGCCAGGGCCAAGGTAGATCTTTCCTTCCTTCAGTTGTTTTTCTCAGGTATTTTGTCACAGAGATGGAAAGCTGACGAACACGGTTTGGGTCGCTTCTACCTTTTGCCTGTTGCACATAGTGGTGTTATGAACATGGATATACCAACACCTGTTGGAGTTTCTACTTTCAATTCTCTTGGGTATAGACCCAGACGTGGAATTGCTGCATCCTATAGGAACCCTATTTTTAATTTTTAAAGGAACAGCCACACTCTTTGCACAATGATTACATTTTACCTTCCCAGAGTGTCTTGTGGTCCCAATTTCTCCACGGTGCTGCCAACACTTGTTATTTTCTGGTTTTCACCCCTTTTTGATAGTAGCCATCCTAATGAGTGTGAAGTGGTTCTGTTGATTTCTTTTTGAAAATTTAATCTAATCAATGACCAAGCAGCCCCAGATTCAAAAGAGCACCAGCGACATGCTTTCGCTCCTTTCTTTCCAAGTGCCAAGACGCCCTGGATCTAGAGAAAACATTTATGCACAGACCAGACTATTGCAATCAGTGCACTGAGATGCTTCTGCCACCCTCCTCAGGCCTCCTTCCATTTTTGGCCTCTGGAGGATGGTTCTATTTTGTCTTCACAGTGTCTCACTCCACAACGACAGAGTTCAAAAATAAGTTTTCATGGGCATTTCCTTGTTGAATTTTTGCACATAGGTTTTTTTTTATAGTCGTACTTTCCTTTATGATGCCTAAATATTTTCTTTGACATGTGTATCGATTTGTAAATTAGATGGTCTTCTACAAAAAAAATATCATTTGTGCTCAAAAAAGAATCCTGTTACTCTAGTGGGTGTGGAGGAAGCTCGGGGTGAATCCTGGAGCCAGGGATTGCAATGGACGGGTCGTGAAATGGGGCCTGGCCTGTGGTGGCGGGAGGATCCAGGGGTGGGGAGGTTGAGGTGCATTTCAGAGGCGACACATAGGGCCTGGTGACCAGTCACTGGTCAGGACCGAAGGAAGAGGAGGAAGAATGACCCCCACATTTCTGGCTTCATGAATGGGGAGTGGTGAAGAGGCGGGGGACAGGACAGAGGGCACGGTGACGACTCCCGTTTAGACCTGCAGGTCAGACAGCTTCTGGATGTCTTGGGAAGGCAGGAGCGTGGGGCCGGAGGGGGAGGGAAGGGAACCTTGGGGGTGGATTGCGATGATCTGGGAGGGGTGTGAACTTGACTCTGGGCTGGGAAACGGGAGGTGTGGGGTCAGGTTCACGGTGAGGGAACATGGCTCTGCACCGGCCCTGGCCCTTGGGGGTGGCCATGAGCTTGGAATGTAGTTCTGCAGTGGTGGGGCCACGGTGCAGATGGGGGAGCTGGGTCACCGCCAAAGTCTGGAGAAGGTCGGCAGGAGGACAGGGCCTGGAATCCAGGCCTAATTCCTGGGAGGGACAGGGCTGGTGACCTATGTGTCCCTGTGACCTCCTGAGGCTGGTGTCCTCAGGGGTTCCCACCCTGTTATTAGTCTGCCCCACTTTGTGCACCCATCCAGAGCCAAGGACTCAGGGTCCCCTTTGGAGCCAGTGACCTGGGTTGGAGTCCTGCCTCCACTCAGAGGCTGGGTGGCCCTGGGGCTGACTTGTCCTGCATTCCAGTCTCCTCCGGTCTGATGGACCGTCCACCAGAGCTGGCGCTTTCATGATAACGGCTCCTCGAGCTCAGGGCTGGTCTTACCCAGCAGGGTAGTTTAGATGAGTTCCCTCTCCCCTAAACACGCAAGGCCAGATCAGATCTACTCCGGAAATCCCTCAAAAGACCGGAAATGGAGCCAGCAGGTGACCCAGCTCTCCCACCCCCGGTATTGACTGCAGCCATACACCCAGGCCCGCGGCCCAGCAGCACAAGGCACAGTAGCCAAGTTCTGGAGGCAGGCGGTGTCGGTCCACAGATGAGTGGACAAAGGAAATGTGGTGTATATACACAATGGGGTCTTATTCAGCTATAAAGAGGAACAAAATCATGTCATTT